TGCGGAGGAGCAGTGCCTTAGGTGGTTCACCTGGGCCGGGCCACTCAGAGTCGCTGGGTTGTGACGCTGTATGTGGAGGTGGGGTCAGAGCAGGGAAATGGCGGCGCTCTCCACTGCCGCTTGCCGTGGGGACCTGCCGGCCCGGTCCAACCGCCCACTCTCTCGCCTGTCCACCCGCGCACAAATGCGCGACCTCAGTCAACACGCAGCCCTGGGCCCGGCTGTCTCCCCCGCGGTCGCTCGCCTGGTTGCTCGCTGGGTCGCTCACTAGGTCTGACCCTGCGCCTGGATTCCGCGGGCCTGAGTGTGTCTGGCCGAGTCCTCCTGTGCAACCCTGCTCCGCCAGCTGGTTTCTCCCCTTACCGGTCAGGCTGAAGAATTTGTTGTTAACGGACTTCTGAAAAGTTCAATTTGCCGTGTTCTGGCTGTGTTTTCTGTTGCTAATATTTAGTTTTCTCTAATCTTGGTTGTGTGAGAAGGCACGGCACATCCACCTATGCCTCCATCTTGGCGGAAGTCCCGGCTCTGCTTTCTGATCGCCGTTGGTGACGACCACGTGAGCTCCCCCAGGTGTGGCTGGCTGTCGAGTGTCAGCATCTCCCACAGGAGCAAGAGACCTGGGGAGCTGGGACGTGTTGGGGTGACAGCACCTGCCCCCCCAGGAGGCCGCCTCCCGGGGGTCAGTGTTGGCCAAGGCTGCTTTCCTGAGCTCTGTGCTTCTGTTAAAGGCCCTGCTGGCTTGGATGTCCCAGACACTGTGCCTTTTCCAAAAAAACTGTCTCCTTGGCTGAGTGACAGTTGGGAATGGGAGCACAGCCTCCACCAGAGTGACAGTGTATGTGAAACGTCAGCATGGGTTTCACATGGGTCCATGGCAGGACTCAGCCCCTCCAGCACCCCAAAGTGAGGTGGTTGTGGGGCCAGCCTGGTGTCCATGAGATGCCCTCTCCCTGGGGGCAGGAGCAGGGCACCCACTCGGGGCCAGGGACCTTCTGTTCCAGACAGACAAGGCCAGCACACAGGGCTCTTCACCTCCACGCCACCCTTCCCTGACACTTCGTTATGAAGATGTTCACGCGTAGCTGAGCGGAAAGATTGAATATTGAACACCCCCGTAGCAACCTCTAGACTGATCATTAACGTTTTCCTCTGTGTGTGTTACTGGTAATTATCTATCTCTCAGTCTCTCTCTCTCTAAAATGTATTTCAAAGTGAAATGCAGGCTTCAGTACATTTCCTGCTAAATATTTCAACATATATATCATTAGCAGAGCTCAACACCTGTTCACATTTTTCTTACGTGAAATTTACACACAGTGAAAAACACAGATCTTAAATGCACATTTTCCAAAGCCGCCTTTCACCCTGCAAAATATTTTTGTGGCTCATCTATCTCGTTGCACATAACAATAGCATATTTTTTTAAGTTTTGGACTAATCTGACGGCGCAGGGTCCTCACATGCACCCACCAGCAAAGTCTCCCACATCATCAGCGTCTTGTGTCACCACGACACGCTGTGGAAGCCAAGAAACTGATGCTCGTCCGTTCTAAGTGACCGCCAGACTCGGTGTGGATTTGCCCATTTTCCCCGTCCTGTCCTCTAGGGTCCCGTCCGAGGACGGCTTCACATCTCGTTGGCATGTCTCCCCCGGACCCTCTGCTCACCTTCCTAGGTGAGCAGTTTCTCATGACCCGGACGGTCTGGAGCACTGGCCAGGTAGCCTGTTGAGTGTCCCCACCTCGGGTTTGTCTGATGCTTTGCTGTCAGGAGACCAGGTCTGGGGTTTCTGACACCAGGCAGCGAGTCCGTGTCAGCCACGAGATCGTGCTGTCCCTCAGCTCCTGGTTCAGGCTGTTTCCAGGCTCCTCCAGGGTGAGGTCACCACCTTCTCCTTCCCTGCCCTGTGCTTCGGGGTGAGTCACCAAGTGCAACCCACCCTCGGAGGCAGGGGGTGGGGAGGGGGCAAAAATGAAGCTCCACCTCTGGTGGGGGAGCATCTACATACATTATCTGGAATTCAGGGACATCAAAAGGAATCTCCCCCATCTGTGTTATTCATTCTCGTATTGGCTGATTATTACCGATTGGATTTTTGTTTTTATGAACATCATAAATGTACCCTATTTCTTGGGACTATAAGACACACTTTTTAACCACGTTTTTTGCTTCAAAGTTTTTCCCCTATTTTCGTCCTGTAAAACCTAGGTATGTCTGGGGTCTACACCATAAGACGCACCTCGGCTTCAGAGAAGGAAAATAGGAAGAAAAATTTGAAGCAAAAAATGTGGTAAAAAGTACATCTTATAGTCTGAAAAATACAGTACATATGTATACATGCTCTCCCTGCATATAAAATGTTGAGGTTTATAAGGAAACAGAATAACTCCCTAAGGTTGTAAGTTACTTATCCTAGTACTTTTGAATAACATCTTACTCTATTTGTATTTCTTGGTTCTTTCCCCTTTTATATTTGATTGAAGGACATGGAATTGACAATATTCAGCTGTTTCTGATCTGCAAAAAATAACTTCATATGGTTCAACTTCCTACCATGTGACCTTGGAGTTGGCTCCTTTTCTTTTGTGAATTGCGACTTTGCACCGGCCCCTCATCTGACCTGGCTTAGGGATCAGACCCCACCAGCTCAACCACAGCTCTAGGCTCCCCCAGCTCCCCCGACCGGGAACCCTGGGCCTGGGTGGAAGGGGGCTGCAGGGTGTGAGGCCAGCCTGTGCTGTGCTAACTACCCCCGCAGGGCAGCTTGGGGCAAAGCCTTGGGGCCTCCCTGGGCTCTGCTCTACTGATGCACCCAGAGGCTGAGGTCTCTGTCCTCTGGTGGACTGGGCCCTAGTACATGGCCTTGCAGAGTCATGGCCATGAGTCCAGCTCTCCCCCTATAGAGCCTTAGACCAGCAGTTGAACCCTTTGTGCCTTAATTGCCATCATCCTTCCAGATGGGTTCCAGTGGTGGCCTTGTCCTGAAACAATCACTGGTGTTAGTCCTGAGCTTCCCCTGTGGGCCCTCCTTTCTACCCACAGTGTGAGAGAGGCTGCCCAGGCCCGGGGTCCCTGGCCAGCTGAACCTCTGACCTGCTCGGTACTCCCCCTGCTCTGGGCTCCTGTCTCCCTGTCTGAGCGCCCAGGGGTGGTTGGTGCTGATGGTCTGGGAGCTGGTGGTGTCAGCAGCGGTGAGACCCTCTCCCCTCATCCTTCTATGGGGCGGGGCCCCGTCCCTCCTGCTCCAGGCATTGGAGGTCTTGGGAGCTTGGGACTAATGGATTCTAAGATTGTAGGTCATGCATGTGGGTGACCTTGGCAAATACCTGGTCTGCTCTGGGCTTCTGAGGGGATGGTGGGCTGTGCTTCCAGAGCTCTTTTGATCCTGTGGTCCAAAAGGGACAGACTGAGCTGGCACACATCCCACAGTGGCAGGACCACTCAAAGACCCTGCCCAGTGCAGGGAGGAAGGAGCACAGTGGTCAGGCAGTCACAGAAACGAACGTACAGCTACAGTTTGGATCAGTCTGTGCTACCAAGGAGAGGTGAACGGGGCCAGGACCCAGCCTGCGGGGTGTGGAAGGGCTTTTCTGTGGATGGTCCTTCCTGAGCTCTGAAGGGCAAGCAGATGCTGGTTAACTAGATGAAGGGGGAGAGAACATTCCAGGCCAAGAAAACTGCAAAGACCCTACAGTGGGAGGGGACACCAGTGTGGCGAGAGCAGAGTGAGGTAGAAAAGGGGAGAGGGTGATGACCCAGGGTCACGGGCAGGGACCAGGTGCAAGGCCTCGGCGCCCCAGGGAGCTCGATCCTACAAGTCGCAGGAGGCTATTTAGAGGATTTTAACACGACCAGATTTGTTTTGAAAAGCAACCTCTGGCAGCTACAGAAAAGAGAGTGGGGGAGTTTGAGTGTAGGGAGCCCAGAGATAAGACTGATGTTGAGATGACAGTGGCTTTGTCCAGGGCAGTAGCTGTTAAGATTGGTAAAAATTGATTTGATTTAGGATGGAGAACTGATAGGACTTAGCGGCTGTGTATATGGGAGACATATCAGGTGATTCCGTGGTCTGAGAACCTGGAGGTATGGGGCCTGGCTTTTCAGTGGGAGAAGCCAGTTTGACATGGAGTGTGGCCAGGGTCACCGGAGAGGCCTGTGGGCACCCAAGAGGTGAGGTGGAGGGGCCTCTGGTTACAGAAGCACCAATCTGGAGTTCAAAGGCCAAAGCTTGAGAAAGAGGTATAGACAGTAGTGCAGGGAGGGAGGGTCATACCTGTGCTTCTCAGGTGCCACTGAGACCTTGCAGAGTTGAGTATGGGTCCCTGGGTAGGGTCTCCCCAACACCCAAGGGGGAGGTACCTCGAAGCTTCTCACACTCTCTTCTCTCCCCAGATCCTGTTGATCTCCGATTACTTCTACGCCTTCCTGCGGCGGGAGTACTACCTCACACATGGTCTTTACCTGACGGCCAAAGATGGCACGGAGGCCATGCTCTTGCTCAAGTAGGCCTGGCTGGGCACAGGGCTGCACGGACTTCAGGGGGTGGACAGGCCAGAAGCTAGGCCAAGCCCTCTAGCTAGAACTGCCAGCAGGCAAGTCCTCAGGCAGATGAGGTTCAAGTCCAGGGCCACAATCTTGGCAGCAGAGGAGAGCCAAGACTGGCAGCAAGGCCTGTGGGGTGCTGCCAGGAGCACCTCCACCTGGACCCCCAGTTTTTGGCTCTGCACACGAAGGAGCCCTTTCCCTGGCAGGAAAGGGGGACTTAAGCAGGTGAGCAGGGTTTGTTAGGTTGTGGTGACTTAATAAATTTTTTGGTATGAAGTCTAGTCTGGATTCCCACTACATTCCTGGATGATGTGGGCCCCTAATACATGATATACTACACAAGGGTGTGGGTTTCCAGAACGAACCCTAAGTCCACAGAACACAAGATACATACTGGTAAGCAGATATTGGTGTGGGGCAGCCCACCCCACTCCCCAAGCAGCTGGAGGCAAAGGGCCAGGCAGGCCTGAGCAGTCTTTATTCTGCAGAGGGACAATGACCACAGATCCATACACCATGTCAAGACCTGGTGAGCCAGGGGCCAGTCCTTCAGGGGTGGGTGGGTCCAGGCAGAGGAAGCAGCGCCTCGGGTGGGGGAGGGGCAGGCGGGCAGGGGCCTAAAATAAAAAAAAGACAGAGCAGGGGTGCTGGGGGCTGCTCCCACCATCCCCCAGCCACCAAGATGGGCAACCCGAACATGACAGGCCCAGGCTCTACCCAGGACAGAGTTGGAGTGGTTGGTGCCCCAGAAGTAAGAGGTGCAGCCCTGCCCAGTCCCCCAGGAGCTGGGGCAGCTCAGTTCAGGAGCCAACTCCCTGGGCAGAGCCTGTCAGGGTCCCCCACTCCCAGTCCAACCACCCACGCCCCCCTACTGCTGGCTCAGAAGCCGAAGGTTTCCTGGGAGGCGTAGACCATGTAGAGGAAGCCGTCGTCATCTTTCTCCTGCTCATAGATGTCCGCGATGGGCGTGGACACGCTCACCATGCTGTGCTGGTTCACCAGCAGGAAGAAGGCCTGCGTGGGGTTCAGCTGCAGGCGGCGCCTGAGGTGGATAGGAGAGCATGCCCACAGTGAGGGGCCTCGCTGCTGGCGGGCTGGTGCAGCTCCGACTCCCTCCCCGAAATGATGTCCCACCTCCGGCTTCACATCCATTCCAGCCTTTTAGAGCTCACCTCTAACCTGACCAGACAGCCCTGACCTTGAACTTCCCCAACCTCCACAGCATAGGGACCCACTGCCGCCGCCCCAAAAGGACCTGGCTTGCTGCCCAGCCGCAGCAGGACCGAAGTCCCCCTCTGAACGCTGCTGCCCACGCACCGGATTATCTTGACCAGCTCGCTCATGTTGACATGGTCCGGGACCAGGAATTTGGTCTTGTCCAGGACTGGCAGCTGCTTTTCCCCCTTGTAGCGCTCGATGATCACCTGGGAACAGGGCAGGGCGGGGACTTGTGAGCCTGGGCGGAGCCTGGGCCGGGCGGGGACAAGCAGGGGGACGGTGGGACTCACCGGGATCTTGCTGGGGTGCTGTTCGCGGATCTGCTGCACCTCCTTACAGCGATCGGCTGCGGGAGGAGGTCGGCGGTGAGACTAGGCCGGGGTGGTCCTCACGGTCTGCCCGCCTGTCTCCTGTCTCCTGTCTCCGAGGACGGCACGCCCCACCTCCCCGGAGCCCCCGCCCCCAGGGCCGTCCGGCAGGCCTGGCCGCAGAACAGGGTTGGGAGGTCCGACCTGGGGCCCGAACCGGCCTCCCAGCCCAGGGTCCAGCTGAAACCTGACGTCACAGGACTGACGTCACCTGCGGCAGCAGGTCGGTCGCGCCCCCCACCCTAACCCACACACACACTCGCAGACCGCCCGCTGGGCCTCACCGAAGCTCCGCCGCTGCTTGAAAGGCCGGTCGGAGGGCATCTCGCGGGCCCGGCTGGGCACACAGGCCGGAGCTCCGGGGCGGGGATGTGGCCGTGATACAGGGGCGCCAAGCGGTCTGCACCTCGCGCTCAAGGGCTCTGGGGCTCACGCTGAGCCCAGCGGCGGAGGCTCCGGGAGGTAACTCGCCCGGGTGACGTCAGGTCACAACAGTCCTTAAAGGGGAGGCCGGCGCGCGGTTCCCATTGGGCCGACTCAAAACCCGCCCGCCCGGGCCGTGACGTCAGGGCACCCAGAGCCTGGATTCCCGACCGGCTCTGGGAAGGGGCGGCTCCCTCGGCCGCGTCACAGTGTTGTGACGTCATGGCCTACGCAGGGTTCCTCTCCCCCTGCCCAGGCTTTCAGAGACTGGGAAGCTCAGAGGCCATTGCCGGAGCTGACTCGCTCTGGCAGAGGCTCCGCATCCTCTGCTCCTGCTGTCACTGACACTGCAGTCTGTTAATTCCAGGGACAGGACGAGGCGCTGAGGAAGAGAGCAGTGAACCAGGAAGTCCCCTCGCGGCTTCTGATTAGAGAAGGAAAAAGGCGGGGTGGGCGAGACTGAAACATGAAAGAGCAAGTCACTGAAAAGGAACACGGGTTTTAAAAGAAATTCCGAGTTGAAAAAATAGAGCTATTAATATTCAGGTCTCAAAAGATGAAGCAAGAAAGCAGATTGGACACAGCAGATGAGAGCCTCTGAGTTGGAGAATAACCAGAAGCAATTATTAAGAGAAACGAGGCGAAGAAACATAAAAAAGGAAGAAACATAAAAAAGGAAGTGACCGGAGTGGTATAGTGAGAAAGACTATGTCCTGTGTCCAATCAGAATTCCAGAAGGAGAGAAAAGGAAGAATACGGTAGAGGCAGTTCCTTAAGAAGAGTTTCCAAAATTGATTAAATACCAGGAAGATCCTGTCATAAAATCCAGAGCAGGATAAATAAAAATAAAGTCAGCATCTAGGCACTTTGTAGTGAATTTGCAGAACTCTAAAGACAAGAAATTAGGTCGGGAAATGGTGAGCAACTAAACTGACAAGTATGTATGTCATCTAAACAAGCACTTAATTGGGACACAAATAGTGATGATTAACTTGGGGATGCAAAACAAGGAGCATGGGACACGCTGAAAGGTAGGACTGGAAAACATGATCAGATTGGCCAAGAAAAATGTAACGTAGCTTGATGCTATTTACAAGAGGACACTTAAAAGCAAAAAGATGGGGGAAAAGGTATCCTTGATAAAAACTAACCAAGAGATATAAATCTATTAAAAAATCAGACAAATTGGCTTGAAGGTAAAGTCATTATTAGGGATATAGAGGACCACCTCTATGATTAAGAGACCAGGTTTCAAGAAAGATGTGACAGTTTCAGGTTGCATGTTAGAGGTTGTGTTTTTAAGGTTGGAAATATATAAAGCAAAAATGACAGGACATAAGGAAAAACCGCCAAATTCTCCATCATGGTAGGAGATTTAAGGCCTCTTTCAGTAGCAAATGATAGACCAAGCAGCCAAAAGATACACAGAATATCTTAATACTATTAATAATCCTAGTCAGCCCCAGTTGGTGTGGCTCAGTATATTGAGCGCCAGCAGCAAACTGAAAGGTTGCAGGTTCCATTCCCGGTCACAGCACATGCCTAGGTTGCAGGACAGGTCCCAGGTTGGGGGGTGTGCAAGAGGAAACCAATCAACATTTCTTCTGTCTTTCTCCTTCCCTTCCTCTAAAAATAAATAAGTAAAATCTAAAAAATTTTTAAAAATATTATCCTAATCAATGGACCCTGATAGAATGCTGAACCCAGTATGTTACTTGCAAGCACACAAGAAACATTTACCAAAACCAACCTAACAACTAGACCCCAAGACACATCTTGACAGATATCAGTTATTCAATTTCATACAGACCATGTTTTCTGATATGGACACAAGCCAAGTAATCTCCAAATGTTTGGACATTTACATATTCTTCTACAAAACTTATTACTCAAAGACGAAATCACATAGAAATGAAAACTGTGGATCAAACCAAGGATGAGAATACATACAAAAACTCCAGGTGAGGTAAGGGAACAATTAAAGTTGCATTTACAAAATGTATAGCCTTATTAGGTAAGAAGAAATATGGAAAATGTATGAGCAGTGTCAAAGAATTTTTAAAAGGTAAAAAAAAAGAATTTTATTTAAAAGGAAAAAAAAGAATTTTTAAAAGGAAAAAGAGCATAAATCCAAAGAAAGTGAGAAAGGTTATAATGAAGAGCAGAAATTGATGAAATATAAAAACAAAGACCACTAGTATGGGCCACAAAACAAAGCTAGATCTTTGAAAAGACCGATAAAACAAACATTACTTGTAAAAGGCTTATACGTACAGATATATCAGAAATAATAAAAATAAGATTATAAACTCCATGCCAGTAAATTTAAATCTTAGGTGAAATGGACAACTTTCTACCAAAAGATAATTTTTAATATATTTTATTGGTTATGCTATTACATTTGCCCCATTTTTCCCTTTATTTCCCTCTGCCCTGCAACCCCCTCCCACCTGCACTGTCCCTTAGTTCATGTCCATGGGCCCATGTAATCCCACACATATAAAAGATATCAGCAAAAGATAATTTGCCAAGACTAATATAAAAAGAAATAGACAAAAAAAGAGAAAGAAATAGTCAAAATGAATAGCCATATACTTCAAAAAACCAACTAGTCCAAATGGTTTTCTAAGTGAGTTCTTCTCTGCCCCACCCCCCAAAACCCTTGGCAGACATTATCCTTGAGGGTAAAACACTGTAGTATATGGTAAAATGTTAAGCCAGGAATACAATTTTAAATTTTTTCACTGAACAAGAGTGCAGTCCTATACGGAGGTCCCAGCTAGAGCCACCAAAATACAGAAAGGGTAGAAGCAAAAAACTATCATTCGCAGTCGGAATAACAAAAGGAATCTACAAACAAAAAACTGCTAACTAATAAAGTCTGACAACACGACACCAAGTTTTAGAGGAATATGGAAACTTTTCACACTGCTGATGGGAGTATAAATCATTTCAGCCACACTGGAGAGCAATTTGGCAAAATCTAATGCTGAAGTTGCCTGTATCTTACCCACCAGGAATTCCACTTCGGTGCACACATGAGCCCAAGAAAACATGATCAGGTGTGTTTATTGGAGCATTTTCATAACAGCAAAAAATTGGGGCACCTAAACGTCCAATTAAATATCTTGTGTGTTCCTATAACAGAATGTACTGTTACAGAGAAAGGGGCGAGTCAGCACACTTTTCCTTTTAAAGGCCAGAGAGTACATATTTTTGGCTTTGCAGGCCATGCGGTCTCTGGCAACCCCTCGGTTCTGTTGCAGCACGGAAGCTCCCTTGGACAACTGGAATGGGCATGGCTGTAGCCCAACAAAACTCTATTTGCTAAAAGAGATTTGGCCTGAGGACCTTGGTTTGCTGACTCTCGATCTAGAGCTGTGTGCGTCGAAGTAGACACATCTCACAAACCCAAAGTTGTAGGAGACTGAGTGTAATCACCGCCAGTAAGAACAAGACCAAGAACTAGGTCAGCCGTGGCCTGGGGAAGTGGTTATACCTCTCTGTCAGACTAAGCCCTGGGCTGAGACTGCAGTAGGGGAGGGACCCATCCCCCAAATCTCAAGGTCTGTGCTCATTCTTCCTCTTACCTGACCAGTGGGCAGGGCTAACACTCCCTCCTCCAGTCCTCTGGTTTCTCATATCACTGCTTCCTCCTCTCCCCCATCTCCTCTGAATCCAAAGGCCTGGCCTACCTGACTCTAGTTGAAAAGTCTAGCAACCACCAGACACATGACCTCCCCCAAATGAACCCATCATCTTCCCCTGGCATGTGCTCCAGTTGGAATCTTCCCTCTCCCCGTCTGTCATCTTTGACTCTTTTCTTTCCCTCACTTTCCTGCACCCCCCTCAACGGACACATCCAAACTGTGCCCAAATCCTATTGGTTCTACATTGAAAATATCTCCAAAATCTCACCACTTCCACCATTGCCACTCAAGGCAAAGCCACCATCATCTCTTGCTGGACTTCTGCCATCACCTCCTTCCTGGTCTCCTTGTCTGGCCTTGCCTGCTGCAGTCTGGTCTCACTACACTGACAAGAGCAATCCTGTTGGATCATGTGGTTCCTGCATCCCACCTGTCAGAGCAAAGGTCAAGGCTAAACAGTGGCCCATGAAGCCTATGGTATCTACCTCCCCGCTGGTCCTCTGGCCTCAACACTCACTCTCAGACTTTGACTTCAGCTACGCTGGCCTCCTCACTATTTCAGGAACCCACTTGAGCCCCAGGACCTTCCTGTACTTACTGTTCCATTGCCTGGAATATTCTTCCCCAAGATCTCTGCGTGGCTCACACTCTTAGTTAACAACGTCTCCTCAGGGAGGCCTTCCTGAAAAATCTTATTTAACGTTGCAGTCCCTGTCCCAGTGAACCCCCTGTTCTTCTCCCAGTCCCTTGCTTAACTTTTTGCCAGAGCAGTTATCACCTCCTAATAGGCTAGATAATTTTTCTAAGCATTTTATTGTGAAAATTTTCAAGCACACAGAACTGAAATAATTGTTCAATAACCACCTGTATGCCCACCCGTGACATCCTACATTTAATCCTGCACCATTTGCTCTGTCACTACCTGTCCATTCATCTGTCTGTCCATCCATCTGCATGTTTCATCTTTTTTATGCATTTCAGAGTAAGTCACCAACCAACATCCATTATGATAAAAACGCAACAAAGTGAATACAGAGGAAACACACCTTAACATAATACAGACCATATATGGACAGCCTATAACTAATATCACACCTACTAGTGAAAAGCTGAAAGCTTTCTCTCCAAGGTCAGGAAAAAAGACACGGATGCTCATTCTCACCACTTTTATTCAGCATAGGATTGGAAGTCCTAGTCAAGGCAACTAAACAAGAGAAAGAAATAAATAGGCCCTGGCTGGTGTAGCTCAGTGGATTGAGCACAGGCCTGCGAATCAAAGGATTGCAGTGTGAGTCCCAGTCAGAGCACATGCCTCGGTTGCAGGCCAGTTCCCAGCAGAGGACTCATGAGAGGCAACCATACATTGATGTTTCTCTCCCTCTCTCCTTCCCTTCCCCTCTAAAGATAAATAAATAAAATCTAAAAAAAAAAAAAAGACATGCTATAACAAAATAAATAAATTATAAAAAAGAAAAAGAAA